GGCAGCACCCCAGAGCCACTCATCATGCAGACACCACATCCAAGTCTGTATCTGCTGGAGTAGCAGGAGTGTTGGGAATCTCACAACTAGGAGGATCAAACAGCCCCTGAGCTCCCAGGCCTGAAGGGCAGACCACCAGGGAAGCCATGATATCCAGATTGTGGGCACTGTATGTCTGTGTGTGCACCCCTTGCCAGGCACCAAAGTGGGGGTAGTGAGGAGCTGGAGGAGTGGAGGAGAACCTGTAACTGGAGAGCAGGGCCCTCCCATGGGTTCTTGGCCACCCTGGGAAGGAGTCTCTGAGACATGGGAAAAAGCTAACAGAACAAAAGTAACTGATTGCCTCCTCCCTCAGAGCAGCTGCTACAGGATAGGCTGGAATTTTCTAAAGGAACTTTACCAAAACCCAGGGGAAAAAAAAAGTGTTGCTAAGAACCTCAAGCAAGCTGGGTGTGGTGGTTCATGCCTGTAATCCCAGCACTTGGGAGGCTGAGGTGGGAGGATCACTGTGTGTTTGAAGCCAGTCTGGGCTACTAAGTTACAGAGTGGGATCTGGTCCGAAAAGAACAAAATGAACCTCAAGCAGCAACACAAAGCCTGCTCTGCTGCCCTGGCCCATCCAGCTCTCAGACTGTCTTTCCCTTCAAGGAAAGCGTATGCTGAGCATCTCTCTGGCAGACAGAGCATGGCCTCCCATTTCTCACACCGTTTTCTATAAGGAGGGCCTGTCCTCAACACAGGGGTGGCCTAGTGGAATGTGCTTTTCAGTAACAGAGAGAACACTCTGGGTCAACAGGAAGATACAGGGCAGGTTCTGAAGGCAAAACAGGGATGTGCATGACGACCACATGCTGAGTGACACAAAATGCACTCCCTTTTAGAAAAGGTCAAGGAGCTCCACCCACGTCCCAACGGTCATAACATGACCTCTGGGAGTGAGAGGAGGCTTTGGATTTGGGCAAACAGGGGGTAAGAGACGGCCATAGACAGCATGAGCACTTCTATGAGGCTCCCATCTTTAAGAAAGATCAGTCAAAATTACAGATGTAAAGCTAAGTTGTAAAGGAAGGCCAATGGGGCCCCACGAGGGTGTCCTTGGGGGCTGCGGGACTCCCATTTTGAGCCCTCAGCTGAGCTGCCACCCCTGGGGATGTCGCTAGGTGGGTGCTGCTCAACCCTGGGGGTCCAGGCACTGCAGGCTGGAGGCCTCTCGGGCACTGAGCACCGCAAGGCATCCCTGCACCCGACACCACCAAGCTCCCACTAGCCCACTTGCCATTCTGTCCTCAAAAGTCTTGACCATGATGCCATCGGGGAGTGAGGTAGCCAGCAGAGCCATCTCCTTCCGTACTGTGCTGAAGAACTTCTTGGCTTCTGGAGGCTGGAACTCAATTTTCTTGAAAGAGTGATTTGCTGGAGGCAAAGAAAACAGTCAGTGCCTAACAGAAGGCCCTGGCGGCTGCCCTGGGAAGCACAGCCTGTAGGGAACAGCTGCCTGTGCCCAGGTGCCTCCCACCACTGTCCCATGGGGCAGGCTCAGGGACATGGAGAGGACAAGCCACCTGGCTTCCAGGTGTGTTCGCACAAACAGGAACCTGGGGTGACGAGGGAAGGTGATGGCCACCTGAGGGCTGACTCACAGGGTGCAAACTCCAGCACAGAGAAGACCTCGCCCTTGGCGCTGGTGAAGGTGACTCCAGGTTTCCCGCCACACTGCTGGCAGAGCACAGGTGTCTCACTGGGCCACTCTGCCTTCACTGGCGACTGCCCCTCAGGCTTGTCATCCTTGCGTTCTGTGTCGGGCGCCGCTTCCATCTTCTCCTCCTCTGCGATGGCCACATTGTCCAGGGTCTTCTTGAGGTTCTCCTGAAGCTTCTTGATGTCATCCAGAAACTTCTTCTCCCGGGTTGGCTTCTCAGGCTCCACAGTGGGTGAGGTGGGGGAGCCCATGAGTAGCTGCTCCACTGTCATGTTCTTGAGGCTCTCCAGGATCTTGATGGCCTCTTTCAGTTCCCGGAAACTCTTGGGAGGCGCATCCTTACCAGCTTTCTCCATCAGCCCTGCCATGGGGGCCGCCATGGCCACAGCCCCCTGGATGGCAGCTGTGGCGGCCTCCTCACTGATCACCACCCCCTTGTCCTCCTCAGGGGCTGCTGGCTGCTCCGTGGGCAGGATGGGGGGCTCCTCTATCTTGGGATGTTCATCGTCTACCAGCCCATTGTCTGTCTCCCAGCTGTCACTGTCGTCCTCCCACTCGTCCGAGGATGCCCCACTGGTGCTGCCTTCTCCTGAATCATAGTCTGACTCCTCAATCTCAGACTCAATGGTGTAGAAGTGCTGGGGGAGAGAGCGCAACAGCAATTCAGACAGGAACTCACTCTGAGGCACTCTGGGGTCCCCGGCCTGACTTGCTGAGGCCTTGGAGATCCCCTTCCTCCCTTTTCTGTTTTCAACTTTCTAGCTGAAGCCCTTACTATGCTGTGAGGTCCCCAGGTCTCCACAACAGGCCCTTTGCCCCACTTCCTCCCCAAGCAGGAGCCCAGCTAAGGGCCTATGCAATCACCTCTCTGGGCAATTTGCCATCGTGTGCCTAGAGGGTGGTGGTGAAAGGTCTAAGGGGAAGCCTCAGCAAAGAGAGCCCATCTCCAGGACTCAGGCTGGCTACTGGGTAGGCAGGGGGCCTCGTGCTACACCTGGAATGGGTAATCTGACTGGAGGGTTTGGCAGGTACAGAGGAGTTGGCCATGCTGTGTCCTGCTCTTCCCTTGAGTGGCTGCCAAGGCGAGGGACAAGCCATTCTCTGCCTACCTGACCCAACCCCTACTGGGCACCAGGAGAGGGCTGTGAGTTTAGCTCAAGTAGGGGAGAGGGAAGGAGACCAGCCAGGGCGGTTGGAATGGGGCCAGCCTTTCCTTTCTGTCCCTAATCTGTCACTGCTTCTCTAGAAACAATAGTAGCGAAGTCGCTGTCTCCTCTTAGGAAAATATCTTGCCTGTCTCAGCACAGTAGGCAGAGAATCCTGAGCGACCTAGAGGTTGGGAGCAACTATACACACTTGTGAGATTTAGAAAGCCCCTGTCTCCTGTCCCTGGGGCTTGTGGGCAAAAGCTAAAGAGCTGCCTTTAGGCTCTCAGGGATGGGAGCCAGACCAGAACCACCAACCCAGGTGGCCAGGGCCGTACGAGGCCAGTGGTCAGGGCCTTGCCAGCCTCACCTGTGGCAGGATGATAGTTTTTGAGCTGTCAGCTCATACCACCTCCACCTTGCTGCTGACGTCCACACAGGCCACCTGGCCCACTGATGGCTGTGAGACAAAGGGGACAGAGTTAAAGGGGCTCCCTGGAAGGGGTGAGTGCCAGAGTACGTCTGAAGGGCTTTAGTGGTGGGTGGCAGGGGTCAAAGCTGTGACGACGGAGGGACGTGAGCACCTGTAGGTCCCTCTCAATCGCCTCTCAGGATATCTGTCCACACTGCCCATTCCTTGCCTGGAAGTGAAAGCTAAGTGTGGCTTTTCCCAAGTCCCCAGCGATGCCCTTGCACACAGTGCTCTGGCCTCCTTGGCTCTGCACCCCTTCCAGCATGGGGCTTCCCGTCTCCAGAGCTTTGTTCCTGCTTTCTTCCTATCTGCTATCTTGACCCCTCCCAACAGTCCCACGTCTTCTTTAAAGTCCCATAGCAAAGCCTCGTCTGGATGTGGCTGTGCTGTACTTTGTGCTGGTGTGACTTTAGCTTACAATACAGAGCCAAGAAACATAACCAGCAGGGCTCAAGAAGCCACAATGCTTCTGTAAGCATCTGGGTTCCACTGCCTCCTGGAACATAGAGCTAGACTTTCAGGTCTTTCCTCCTGGAGCCACCTGGTGGCAGTGTCAGGGATTGCAGTCACTATCAGGGTGGGAAAAGCTACCATAACTTGAACTTGGAAAGGTGTGGGGGGTGCGGGCGGTGTACCTCATCCTCCTTGTGTGGAGCTCCGTCCTCAGTGTTACCAATGCGGATGACGATGTCAGTTGTACGGAACCGAAAGTCAGGGTGGTCAGCAATGTCGTAGACACTCACATCCTCCTCTTCTCCGATGAGCTGTGGCACAGGGCAGACTAATGTGAGCCAGGGTCTTACCTCTTTCCCCAGAGTCCACCCAGAGGAAGCAGCAGGGCAGCAGGCTCACCTCCACATCGTCCCCACTGGGCCGCAGCTTAAACCACTTCACCATGCAGGTACGGCCAATGTGGTCCCCAGACTGTACCACACCATAGACAGCAGGGTCTGGGCAGCTCTGGACTAGGGAAACCAGAAGGGACTCAACTAGCTGAGGAGTCCTGGGGTGCCTGCCAGCTGCCACATTTAAACTACTCAGGCCTCCCCTGGCCCAGAAAAGAGCTCCTGTCAAAAGGTCTTCCCTGATCCTAAGCCCCATCCCTACTGACCCAGGGTCTCATCCATAGCTGTCCCACTGACCACCCCGATGCCAGCACTACCTCGCTTGTCCACCACAAAGTCTCCAGGGCAGAACTCGTTGTTGTCCAGGTGGTGCACAGGAAAGAGGTCGTTGGAGCGGATGTTGCACTCCACAGAGCCGTCCTGCCACATCATATCAGCCGAGGTCATCGTGGTCACCACCTCCACGGCGACCCTACCAGGTGAAAGTCCATTAGCCAGGTCACACATATATGTGTCTCTAGGGATAGGGCAGGTGACCTTCTGTTCTTTTCCTCCTGCCTGAGTCTTGCCCCACATAGGTAGAGCGAGAGCGTCTGACAAGTGCCAAGTGCACCTGCACCCCAAATGTGATCCAAGGAAGCCAGCCACTGCCGCCGACCTAACACCACACTTTCATTCACCGAGACCTATTCTGCACCACCCATCGTCTGGGGATGGGGTGTGCCCCAAGCTGTTACGGTCTGTGAGCTCCTGAGCATGCATGTGAGCCCCAGGCAGGCTCTTTCCTGGCCTCTGAATGGGCGCTGGAGGCTGAGGGAACAAGCTCCGGATTTACCTGTCCCCTGGCTTGAAGTCACGAGTGATCTTACTCTTCTTCCTCTTGTGTTTCCGCTTTAAGTTCTTGATGGACAAGGGAATACTCTTTTTACGACTTGTGCCACTTCCACTCTGGGAGGAGGTGGTGGAGCTGGCAGAGGAGGTCACCGAGCTGGTGTCATCTGTGTCGTCAGCGGCCTCATCATCTGCATCCTGCTCAGCCGAGTGCAGCCCATCATCTCCGCCCTCCTTCAACACGAAAGGGGGCAGTGGTTCGCCTGCCTCCTGAGGCTCCTCTGGACCCTCATCCTGCATCTCCACAGGGCTGGCTGACCCATCTGGTGGCTCCTCAGGGCTCACGGACCCTGCTTCGCTCTTGGCTCTGGCTTCTCCTTTCTTGTCTGGGTCCTCCATGGAATGGTCTCTGGGACACTGGGTGTCTGGGGTGCAAGACATGATCCTCACAACTTGCTTCTTTAACAGGCGCTTCACCTGTAAGGGCAGAGCAGAGAGGACAGGCAACTGTGAAGTGAAGCAGGTGGCAGAGGCCCACTCTGGGCCAGCCTGGCCCCAGGCACCTCTGTCTGGGGGGATTAAAGTTATACAGACCTAAGAGGCCAGCAAGGGTTCTCAGAGGCTGCCCCCCAAGGCCTAAAGCACACTGTCCTTCCTGGCTGTGGAAATGGCTCAAGGCCAGTTCCTCAAAGGCCCACCAACCGCCAACTTCAAGGACATACCTTCTTGGCCATAGAGCCCTCCCCCTGGGCGTAGTTTTTTTCTGGACATTCCCAGGCAATCTTGGCCGGCTCTACCTTGGCTGGGAAGACATACAGACAGCGTTCCCCAAGCTGCCGCTGAGCATGGTCAAAGCATCCGAGACGCTTCACCCTGAAGTGGAGAAGGGGGAGCTTGGCTGGACTTCTGAGAGGTCAGGGATGCTTGGCCCTTCCACACACTTGTGTCCAGGTCAATCGTCCAGGAATTGCACCTGGAATTGGGGGGGGGGGCAGGAGTACACTCACCTGCCTAGGTTTTCCTGAGTGATAACAGAGGGTGGGGGGCTGACGCTGTCCGTACCCCCGGGGCAGAAACTCTTGGTAATCCATGTGACTTTCAGCTCTACAACCTGCACCTGGGGAAAGCAGGCGGGACAGGGTCTCTGTCGGGGGGATTAAGCACTCTCTTTGACCAGCTGCCTAAAGCTCTCCAGACCTCTGAAGCAGGACCACGTGTGTTAGAAGTCACCTTCCCTCACTCTTCCTGAGCAAGGCAGGTGGAGGGGGGACCTGTGCCAATCAGCCACCATGGCCAGAGCCTGGGCTGATCCTCAAAGTCCCTCTTAGATCAAAGGGGGGCTGGGTACTTAGGAGCAGGCTAGAGGGTGAAGCAGCTCAGCTCTGGGGCCTGGAGGTCAAGACTGTCCTGCACACCAAATGCCGAGTCCCTACCTCCTCCACCACCACTCGGAACTTGCTCTTGGTGCTGAGTACAGGCTTGACCCCCGACAGCCACTGGACACCGGAGAAGATCTTGGCAGGGCCGATAAGCACCTGGCCTGGGTAGAAGCCATAGGAGTCATCAAAGAAGAGACCCTGTAGGGTTTAGGGGCAGAGGAAAGTACTTGTGAGTGGGCCTCCTTGGCCCCTAGTGCTGTGCCCGTCTCACCAGCAGAACCTGCAGCAGTCCACAGGATATGGCCTGTGAGCTCCCTGCAGCACATCCTGTGGTGAGTACACTTCCCCAACATGGTATAAGCCAGTCATCAAAGGAGTGTGACAGATGCGCTACAGACTGTTCTATGCCCCTAACAAGCTCTCAACTGACACGATGCTGTTAGTGAAGGGGTTACACTCCTGGGAACAAAGGTCTAGAGAACAGTGGAGCCCAAACCTGTGTAATCGTACAACCCTAGCTACAAAGTATGTCCATGTGCTACAGGCCTAGAGTGTCCTGCTGGATTAAGCCACTCTGTCTGTCTGCAGGATGAGACAAAAGGTTAACAGCTGGGCAAGTGGCACATGCCTGTAATCCCAGCACTCAGGAGGTGGAGGGGGGAGAATTTTGAGTTGGAGGCTAGCCTAAGCTATAGAGTAAGACTCTGTCTCACAAAACAAAACAAACCCCCTACTCACTCACCGAAATAAAACCCTAACAACACAACGTGAATAAAAGCACTGATACCTTCTGCCCATTCCTAAACTTCTAGCTGGCCTGGCGCACGCCTGCCCCTTGCCTAGCAATTCATTTTGCCTAGCTTGGGGCACTTCTGAGCTCCCTCCTGAGAAGTCCCTGTTCCTAGGCAGAGAAGAGCCTCCCTCCTCAGAAAGCGTATGTACCGAGTCGCTGACGTGTGGGCAGACGTCGTAGAGTTTCGCACCATCTTCTGTGTTCATGGAGCACCTTAAACAGTGAACAGAGGTTTGGTGTCTAGCAGAGCATAGTGAGCACCCAACCGTGGTGACCAGAGGCACCACAACATCCACGTGTCCTAAAACACACCATTTATCTTCCACCAACAGCTCTGCCTCTGCCATGGGACAAGACCCTGACCCCATATGAGTATCTGTCACCACTGATGCACGTAGAACAGAGGACCAACCACCAGACAACTAAAGCCAATACAGGCCAGAAACTGAGCCACAGAAGCTAAGAAGACCTGGGATACAAGGCTCTGAATGCGTGCAGCACCTGTTACTGTCCTGGACTGAACCTGACCTCACAAGCCCTGTGCGGAGACACCCTCATACCCACTTTCTGGCAGGCAGCCTTCCCTAAGCAGATGGCTCCTTGGCAGAGATACCTACCTGGCACCGTTGGATAACTTTAGGATGATCTGGTTCTTCAAGTCATAGACCTTCCCCAGCCAGCAATCGTAGGCGATGTAGTCTCCATACATGAAGGGCTACAGAGCAAGGACATGAGCATGAGAGGGCAGACAGACACTGCCAGGATTTGGGGCCTGAGATTTTCTTTGCCCCACTAAGACACAGGAGGAAGGTTCTGGAAAGCATATTAGCTAGATCTACAGATTCTAGAGCAGGATGCTCCAAGAAGTTTGAGGCTGCATCCCAAGCCACTTTCTGGACAGTAGTGGTGGGTGGGCTCCTGGGGGGCAGGAGGGGCCTATGGAGGCAGAGGGACAGCGCACAGTCGGGAGGTTAGGCTTTGTGGACGGATATGAGTTCCAGCAAACAGATACTAAGAACAGTGTTCTCACTGCTGAAGGTGGCTCAGTAACAAAAAGGGGAGAGTCAAGAGCATTCAGCTGGAACTAAGCTGTCAGGATGGATACGTACACACTACTATACGGGTACACTAGGTACTGATGTATTTAGATGTCTGTATACACATACGCACTTCCCTGTGCTGTCCCAAGAGGGCTGGGTAGCAATTAGTACATCTGGAATCAGATCTTAGTTTCTTGGTGGTGTGGATCAAACCAAAGTTTTGGTGCAAAGCAGGTAAGCGCTCTACCAGAGACCTACCTACCCAGCCCAAGAGCTTCAGGTGTTTTGCTCGCTTGTTTTTAGACAGGGTCCTATTATATAGCCCTGGCTTCCTGGAACTCAGAGATCCTCCTGCCTCTGCTTCCAGATTGCTGGGATTAAAGGTGTGCACCAGCTATTCTGGTTTATTTGTATGTGTCTGTGTGCATGCCCCATGTGTTTGGGTACCCGAGGAAGCCAGAAGAAAGCATTGGAATCCCTGGAACTAGAGTTACAGATGGCTGTAAGCCATCTAATGGGGGTGCTGGGAACTGAACTGAGGTCCTCTACAAGAGCAGTATGCTCTCTTAACCGCTAAGTCATCTTTCAAGCCTGATTTCAGTTTTTATTTTTAGTTTTTGGCTTTTTGAAACAGGGTCTCCCTATAGTCCCAGCTGTCCTGGAACTCACTAAGTAGACCAGGCTGATCTTGAACTCACAGAGATCCGCCTGCCTCTGCCTCCCAATTAACGGCACGCACCACCATACCCGGCTCTGATTTTAGTTTTTAAAATGCCAATTCTGGGGCTGCCAAGATGGCTCAGTGGGTAAAGGCACTTATTGTGGACCTCTGGTGACCTGAGTCAAAACCGGGGTAAAGGTGGAAGGAGAGAACCAGTTTCACAAAGTCCTCTGACCTCCACACACACAAATCATGGCACATGCACTCAGACACATATAAAGACACACTTTTTGGACAAATGGCTGATTCTAGAGCTGGGTAAGAAAAGTGTAAGATGACCCTGGAGCATCTCACTGTGTCAGAAATGAAGAAAAACACTTCAAAAAGCAGGGACTCATGGAAACACAGAGGCTGGCCTAAAGGACCTTCCACAGGCCTAAGCTGGGGCAGTTAAAGCAAAACATGTAATGAGAATAACAGATTATACGCAACTGAATAAAACAACTCTTCAGAGCATGCTGATATAAAAATGAATTTAAAAGGAACAAACGGCAGTAGGCAAAGCTCTTCCACACAGCAGAATGCTAACACTGACAAGGCAAGGATGACCTCAGGGACGCACCACGTGTGGCTGTTACAGGATGGGCTGTTTAGGTGGGAATGTTCCCAAGGCTAAGGCTGGTGGACGGGGGTCTGATAAGGGACGCTTGCTTACAGCAGTACACTTACAAAGAGGTAAAGGAGGGACTGGAGAGATGGCTCAGCAGTTAAGAGCACTGGCTGCTTTTGCAGAAGATCTGAGTTCAATTTCCAGCACCCACATGGCAGCTAGCAACCGTCTATAACTCCATTTCCAAGGGATCTGACGCCCTCTTCTGACCTCTGCGGCATTGCATGACACATAAGCAAGCAATACACTCATACACATAAAATTATTTAAAAAAAGAAGTTTTAAAAAACAAAGGGGTAAAGGATGACCTGATGGTGGCGAGGCCTGGTGGACACCAGCGGGACCAGGGAGCAGAGTGAGCGTCCCTAGAATAGCTGGTCAGATGTAGGCCTGCTGGGCATGCTGGGAGTAAGGCTGGACATGAGACAAGAGCACAAGCTACTGGGGCCAAGGGTCACACTACTGTGTCACTTTCCAGGGCATGGACAGACTGGAGAGCCATCCCAGAAGCAAAAAGGAAGGTCAGCCGGGCGTGGTGGCGCATACCTTTACAGGATCCTAGCAATAGGAAGGCAGAGGCAGGCGGAGCTCTGTGAGTTCGAGGCCAGCTAGGTCATCATAGTGAATCCAGGACAGCTGGGGCTACAGGGAGACCCTGTCTCAAAAAAGACCAAAAAAGTTATTTACACCTGGGCTGGTGGCACATGCCTTTAATTCCAGCATACAACATTCAAGAGGCAAAGGCAGGCGGATCTCTGTGAAATGGAGGCCAGCCTGGACTACATAGCGCATTCTAAGCTAGCTGAGGCTACAGGGAGACCCTGTCTCAAAAAAAAGTGTCAGAGGAGAAAAGGGAGTAAGGAGATGCTGAAGAGCAAGCCCACCTTGTGTCCAGGCTCACTTGTAAGGGTAACTCTGAGGCTGCCAGAGGAGAGCTGGCCACAGTGACCTTGCTGTACCCAGCAACACTACACTCAGTAAGAGCTAGGCAGAAGCAGTACAGACAGTGCACGGCCAAGAGAACAGAGCTGAGCGAGGCCAGAGGTCACTCACCCAGATGTGCTGGAGGTCCTTGCTGTTCACGGGGTAGATGATGCAGTTGGTGCCAATGAGCTTGACTGCACAGTCGATGTTGACGTCGATCACTGTACCGCACTGACTGTCCTGGAGGGAGGGAGGGAGGGAGGGGGTATATAGCAAGGCCACCGTGGCAGACCCACCCAGATAGTCCCAAGGCTGCCCCCTGCCCAACTGAACCAGGCAGTTTCTTCCATACAGAGCAAGGAGCAGGCAGGCTTAAGCCCCTAAGTGGTTGCCCTCTGACCTAGGCTGGGATGGGGATGACGGACTCACAGTGGAGCGCATGTGACGGACCACATCTCGGGGTACCACGGAGCGGTCCTCCAGTTTCAGCTGTTAAGAAAACATGAGTGAGAGAGGTCTTTGAAGCCACGTGTCTTCAGGAGTCCATACAACCCTCAAGTACTGTCACAAACTACACCTGGCCCAGCACCAGATCCATAATGAATCCTGACATTCTCCTCCCGGTTCTTTCCACCACTGTCTCCCACCAAAGGCAAACCCCCCACTGCCTTCCCCTTTCCTGCCTTGTTGGTACCCATCCCCTGGAGGTACCCCTGTGCATCACAAAGTGTGGCTGGCTGGCTGACGGACCACAAAAGGACTCACACTAGTGCAAGACTTAAGCCTGCTCTACAGAGCAAATATTTTCCCGAGTTAAATCCTTCTTTTGAGTGCCTGTCTTCTGACCCTGGCTGATCAGTGCTCAGGAGGGTTGGGGGACGGGTATGACACTGGGCTGTGGAGGTCACCCTGAAGCCAGCTATCACCTGACACCACTTCTAATCTGGGTTATCCCCCCTGCCCAGCTGCAGCCTGCGCCTTATCTGCAGCACTGCAGAGCCCTGTGGCTGCTGAGTAGCTCTAGGGCTGGCTGATGCGGAGCTTGACCTGTCCCATTACAGAGCCCCAGTGGCTGCCACTTCCTGCCGCGAGGTTGCTGGGTGGCCTTCAACAGCTGAGGCAGGGCCAGTTCTCTGCCAGGCCTGCTTGTCTTCCCTTCTGTTGGGTCTCAAACCCTGGACTGCTACTCTGTAGTTCATTGGTAGCCCATAAGTGATGGGGATCTCTGTATCTCTCCCGCTCTAAGACCCAGAGCCACACACCTGGGAGAGCTATTTCCTCAAAGTCTACCCTACCCAACACTGCTCAGCAGAGAAGCCTCTCTGCTGTCGTCAACTCCTTGGGCATGAAAGGTGACTGCCCGGAGAGCAGAACAGAAATGATGAAAAAGGAAGATATTAGAACAAGGCCACCCACACTTTGGCAACAACACCTGACACAAACTCCAGTAGCAAGATGTGGCTTATTGTGAGGGGAGCAATGAACCCTACCATCAAGCAGCGGTGTGCTAATTCCCATGGGAACCCAGGACCCATTCCAGATGACAGGCAGCCTGCTGCTACATACAAAATGGGACCTTGGAGGCCAACTGAGGGTGTTTATGTTGGGATCCGCCAGACCACAAAAACAGCAGGACCTGTGCATGTACACATAGCCACTGTGTTAACGCCTGGTTCACTGCCCCAGACATAGGCCGAGACCCTGGAGACTCGGCTGGAGGCCAGGCAGTGAGGGGTGCACTGACAGGCTAGTGCCCCCTTTTAACTATAAAGACACTGTATGCTGCCCCACCCTTTCTCAACCCCTTCCTTAGCTTAGACTTAAAAAAGCAACCAACTGGGGCCCAAGTCGTCATAAAAATCGGCTTGACGTGGGAAATCCAAGGGCTCCAACCAGGGTCCTAGACAGCTAAGCCTACAGATTACATCCCCTGGTGGCTATTGTTAGGTCCAGAGCATAAGCAGAAGAGGGGAGAGCTACACATGCACATGTGGGCATCCTCGTGTGGAGAGCACATGGAAACAAATGCCCTGACTCAAAGGCCAAAGCAGCAGATGCTGTGTAGGGGAGGATCCTGCAGGAGGTGCACTTCCTGCACGGCTCTTGGCCCACAGTGCAGCTCCACTCCAATCAGAAGCTGTCTTCAGGGGCTCTTCTGATGCTTCGGAAGCTCCATTTCCCCAGAGCACTGGGAACAGGTGGGAAGAAGTGGCAGGGAAGGCGGGGGGGCACCATGCTGTACTTCCTGACTTGCCGGTCTTGAAGGGGGGCAGGCAAGGCTCTCCATCATCCTCTGTGACTTTCTCACCTCGCCCCTATGTCTCCCCAACTAGCATATCCCTGGGCTCCACAACTCAGGAGCTGCTGCGCTGCACAGGTCCTTCCCAACGTCCCTTCCCCCTCTATCCTCGCCCCAGCATGGACTGCCTACTTCTCATAGACCTCTTCCGATAGTCCATTCTGTTAGGACCTGCTGTCACCTTGGAAGCCTCCTCTGTTCCTGCTTACTAAATGCCAGGTAGTTTTCTGAGCACTTCCTATGTTACCCAGAAGATGCTTCCAACTTCAAAAAGTATATCTACCACCATCCCAACTGTCATTAATGGTTTACAGATAAGCAAGCAGGCACAAAGAAAGCTACTTGTTCAAGGTCACACAGCTCATAGGGGTGGAGCTTGGACATGGCAGCCATCTGGCTCCAGTCCTTTCTCTTCATCTTTCCCCAAAGCTGCAGAGATAGGAACAGAGTAAAACATTTCTGGCAGGTCCACACATCTTCAAACTCAAGAGTCTTCCAGTTATAAAAGCAGTAAAATGTTCTGTTTGGAAGGCAGGCGTACTGCAGCCTAATTGCAGATGTCATGGGGCCCTGAGGCTCTGCCCCTGGGTGATGAGCAGTGTGCCCTCCACTTCCCCTTCCACCCTGAAAAGTTAAGTACTCAAATCACAGGTGCCAGACATCACTGGGGGGTGAGCACCAGAGGGCACTGCATGTACTCAAGGAGAAAATGGGCCCTAAATGTCTTGTTTACAACAGGGTGCCCAGGATGGGAGCTCAGCAGTAAAGGGTAGGTTCCAACTGTCCTGACAGCCTCCAAAGCTTTCAACAACTCAGTTGGCCAGCCAATCCAGCATGTCCTAGATAACACCAGCGATCAGTAGTTTCCTGACAGTAAAAGAGGATGCCAGATGTGATGGTGCATACCTTTAGTCCCAGCACAGTAAGCTGTGCTGCCTTTAGTCCCAGGACAGTAAGCTGTACAGTAAGGCGCCCTCCAAAATGAAGACAAGAAAGACACAGCAAATTATGGAGCCTTTCCCGGAGTAGCCTTGTTGGAGCTGGAGGAAGCACGGACTGGGGTGGGCTCAGTGCTTATTGCTTCCCCCACTTCCAGTCCAGTCTCTAGTTCCTGTGTGTGGGTGGAAATGGGATCTTGGTTTCCTGCTCTATGCCCTCCCTACCCTTATGATTCTCTTTCTAAAACATAAGTTCAAATAAACTCTTCCTTCTATACATTGGCTTGGTTATGGTGTTTCATCACAGCAACAAAAAGTAGCACCAAATGCTAAGAGGGTCTGTGGAAGGAGCCATGCAGGGCATGAAATGAAATGGATTACTCTGGATACATGTAACAGAAAGTAGGGGGCAGCTTCTGCTGCCTCACCTGGAAACAACTGAGGGCTGTGCTGTTGAGGGAGGGGAGCCTGGCTTTGAGGGGCTCACTGTCTGATGGATACCGATGCTAAAAGAACACCTCAGGTGTCTAGCCCCTGCTCTGCCAGGCCCTGGCAGGGGGGAAAGCAGAACAGATGGACCAGGTTGTGTTCAGAGCCATACAGAAATGGCAGTACAGGAGGTGGCATGGGTCATACAAGAGTGATCGAAGAAGGCCACTTCAAGGTCCACAGATCTGTGTGATAAGGCACTGAGCTTTCCAGAGATATGAGAAGCCTTATAGACACTGGGCAGGGTGTCTGGAAGCTAGCAGGGCTCCAGAGAATGGGAAGAGGGAGCCAGATCACTCAGGTCTTGGGAGTCTATCCTGAGTAAGGCACAAGTCCCTGTGAGCTCTGAGCCGAGGAAATATAATGGGACCATCTGACTGTTGACGGGGAATGTGGGATGGGCAGGAACTGGTTCAATGATTTTCAACTAGCAGCCACTCTGCTCCCCAGGGGACATTTGGAAATGACTTGCAATATCCTGGGCTGTCACATATGGGGGATGTGAGTGGACATCATATGATGCACAGGACAGCTCCTACCACACAGAATGATGTGGCCAGAGTATCATCAACGTCTAGGCCCCAAGGCTGCCCTAGGCCAAGACCAGAACAATTGAAGACCAGTTAGCCAAAGGGCACCTCCCCACCTCCACTCTCTCCTCACCTTTTCTTTCTTTCTTTTTAAAAGTATTTATTATTTTTATTTTATGTGTATGAGTGTATTGCCTGCACCTGTGTTGTGCAATGCCCGTGGAGGTTAGAGGAGGGGGCTGGATCCCCTCGAACTGGAGTTACGAATGGTTGTCAGCTGCCACTGGGTGCTGGGAATTGAACCTGGTCCTCTGCAAGAGGAGCCAGTTCTCTTAATCGCTCCAGTCCCTTACCTTTTCTTTTTAAACTGACACATAAAAATTGTATATACTGATGGGGCTGGAAAGACGGCTCAGTAGTTAAGAGCTCTTGCAAAGGACCCAGGTTCGGTTCCCAGCACCCACATGGTGGCTAATAACTGTCCAATTTCTGAGGATCCAAAGCCCTCTTCTGGCCTCCGTGGGCATTGCACACACATGGTGCATTTATATACATGCACACAAATGCTCATACACATAAAATAAATTCAAAAAATAAAACAAAACAGAACAACAACAAACTTATATACTGGGCTGAGGAGATGGCTCCCTGGGTAAAGTGCTTGCTGTGCAAGCATGAAGATCTGAATTCAGATCCCCAGTGCCCATGTAAATGCCAGGTGAGGTGGCACATTTGTAACTCTAGTGCCGGGGGATTGTAGTAGTTAGGATTCTCTGGCCAGCTAGTCAGCCAAAACAGTGAACTCCAGATTCTATGAGACTCTGTTTAAAAAAACAGGTGGAAGGATCAGTGAGATGACTCAGCAGGTAAAAGACACTTGTTGCTAAATCTGATGACCTGAGTTTGATCCCTGAAACCCACATGGTGGAAGAAGAGAACTGACTCCCACAGGTAGTCCTCTGACTTCCACATGTGCTGATACATGTGCATCCACATGGTAATAGTAAATGTAATAAAACATTTTTAGTGGAGAATGACAGAAGAGGCCACCTGAAATTGACCTCTGGCCTTACATACTCAGGTATGAGTGAGTACACCCATACATCCACATCTGCACATGAGCACACATGTACATACATAAGTACACACACACACACAATCTAAGGCCTTTACACCCAGGCACGATTGAGTACACCCACATACACACAGGTCCACACATGATACACCACACAT